GTGGGGTGGTGGTAGTGATGGGTGTGGCAGTGGTGGTAGTGATGATGCTGTTGGTGGTGCTGGGTGGTGACGGCGGTCATAGGATGGTAATGGTGGTGGTGGTAGATGGCAGTGAGATGGTGTTGGCAATTTTGAGTTAGTGGACATGCAGGCAGATCTTGGGAGGGACTGCACAATTCTGTACACAGAGAGCATCTGCTTTGCATCCAGATGCTTGGGCTCTCAATGGAGTACAACCTGCCTGGGTCTACTGGGCCATTGAACAAATTACAAACACCAGGGCCTGTCAAACACAGGAAACCAATCAGCTGAGGGCCCAGAGGTCATCTCCTCCACGCACATGGCCACACGGAAGTCCCTACAGCAGATAGAGACAGCTCGATGTAACAGCATCAAGATGTTTAATATAAAAATAACACATGCTTATGGTGATGGTAACGGAATAAAGAAAAACATAAAGAAGAAAATTAGAATGATCTCAGTATAAGCAGGCTTTGCTGTCTTCCAGGTATTTTCCACTTAAATATCCATATGTGAGCTAATGGCTGACTCTCCTTATTCGATGTGCCAAGGCCCTCTTTCCTCTAAACGGACCGATTTTCAAGGTCCCGAGAGATCAGCATCTAAGAGATTAGTTTCCCGAAGTGGTAAAGGCTGCTGACACCGGAGCTTCTTACTGAAGATGTAAGAAGCTTGAGGAAACACCTTTCACACTCGTGATCTACACTCAGGTGTGTGGTTGAAGCCCCCTTCATTCTGCCCCATCCTCCAAGGTGCTACAAGTGGGTGGTTTCCCCATGCCCACCAGCCTGGCAAAGCGTTGCCACCCTCCCCTCACTGGGAGCTCCGCCTGTGCCTGTGTCCTCGCTCTCAGGTCCTGCTGGGCGCCTGCTATGGAACAGCTCTGGGGCTCAGGGCCAGGGATGCAGAGGACAAACGCAGAGTCCCTGGAGTCAAGTCCCGTCGTCAGGCTTCCAGTGTGCCACCTGTGCCCAAGACACTTCTGTGAAGATGGCTTGGTCTGCTCTAGACGCCTTTGCTGTATGTAGAAGCTTCACCAATGATGATATTTTGTGCCATATTTACATACAGGATATTTAGTAGCATGTTTGTACATGTTTCTAGATTTTGCCTACCTAAAAGGGAGAGTAATACAAGCCAAATGGTGTGGAGAAAGATCTGAAGAAACAATGCTGCGTGGACGGGCACCCAAGTGCCTGTAACCCTCCTGCCAGCGGCTCCACGGACCGTGCTGGTTTTTTCCTCCCCCACCAGAGCTACCATCTAAGCTCCACGAGGGCAAGTATTTTTTGGCTTGTTTCATTCACTGCTGTATCTTCAGTGCCAGAGCCTGGCACAGAGTCGATGCTCAATAAATGTATGTTAGATGAATCCATCAAAGTTCATACAACTGGCATTCTGGTTTTTCTGTCGATCTTGCTAGTTGGATGAGCATGAGAAAAACCCGCTTCCAATTCATGCACTAGCAGGATAGCTTATGCAAACCAAGTAGGAACCAGACATGAATTGTGGGGACCCCACTGCCAGCCTCTCGCGCTGAGCAGGCACAACAGGGCCATCATATGAATGCTGTGCACACGAGTCCATGCTGCTGCTCTGGAAGAGAAGACACCTGGACCCCAAGACTAGCAGGAGGGAACTGTGTGCGCACTATGCCACACTGAGCATTAATTAATGTGGATGAGATTATAGTTTTGCTCTTCCGAGAAAATGACTCAGAAACCAGTCGGGACAATGTCTGATTGGGCTGGTCCTTCTGACTAACTTCCTATTTTTTAGTAGTAACTCAGAGTGGATGAACCCAGCAAGCTATGGGAGGGAAGCCAACGTCACCAGTTGTGTCATACAACCATTGTCCCCCATCCATATGACGTGACAAGGAGAACGTGTCACCCCTGGGGTCTTCTTTCCAAGATCTAATTCAAGCGTAATCATGGGGAAAACATCGGATCTACCCAGACTAGAAATATTCTACAGGATCCCTGGTGGGGGCTCCTTCAAACTGTCAAGATTCTAAAAAGCAAGGCAAGGCTGAGAAATGGGCACAGACCAGAGGAGACTGGGAGACGGCACAAGGAAATGTACTGTGAGCTCCTGGATGGGATCCTGGGACAGAAAGAGGGTACTTATGGGAAAACTGGCACATGAAATTTTACAGCCGCTAAACTCATAAATCAGCCAAGCACTTTGGTAGCCAGGCCCAGGGATGGCAAACTGCAAAGCAGAAAGGCCCCCACAAGCCAGCTGCTTGCTTTGAAGCCTTCCCACTTATCTCTAAAGGGCCTGTTGCCTGGGTTTTGTGTGAGGTTAGGCACTCATGCCCTCCCCCCTGCCCCGCACTCTCCCATCAGCTCCGTGTTGGACCAGCTCCCGGCTCTATCCAGCTGTTTCCGTAACCGTCTTCCTGAAGCTGGGCCCAGAACCACAAATGAGCCTGCTGCTGTTCTCGAGCCTGAGAAGCCTGACTCTTTCAGCTTTTAGGTGAGACTCTCTGGGCACCCCACAGCCGATCACTCCTCCTTACACATTATGCCTGCTTCAAGCAAAATCATGAAGCACTTCTGCTTCCTTCTGCCAGAACACGCCTGATATCCACACAAAAAACCTGACAGCAAAAATGGGAAAATGAACTCATATGAATGGAGGTGCCCAGAGCCATGCACAGGCCCGCCCTCACGCTGGCGCCAGTGCTGCCCGGGGCTGCCGTGGCCGCTCCGTGTGGAATGTGTGGCTCAGGGATGCTGTGAGCCCAGCAGGCCATGGGTGCGGTCGCCTGCACCCCACCCCCCACAGGTAGGTCATCCTCGTTTCGGCAACCCCACACCTGGGCATGGGAACTGTGGGTGGTTCATCAGGGAAGAACCACCTCCCCCTCCGGGCACAGGGGACAGCCCAGTGACAGGGCCAAGACCCCGGGGCATGCAGAAGGAAAGCGGCCAAAGCCGGAGGCTTCAGGGAAGAGCACAGGCCTGACGGCAAGGAGCCCTGCCAGTAGGTCGCAGGGTGTGAGTGGTGAGAGTTTAGTCACCAGTTAAGGAATTTCTGAAACTTAATGAGATGAAGAGGAGGATCCCTTTCCTGCTGAAGCCTCCTTCACACCTGGCCACTTTGCTTTTCAATGAAGTCTGCATATCGGGGGCCCTGGCATTTCCTGCCTCTCCCCTAGTCGCCTTATCTCATGTGTGACATCAGCTCCAGCCTCCTCACCTGGCCCTGCAGCCACCTTCTCTCGGGTCCTGCAGGGACCGTGGGTTCCACCGGGGGTACTGTCTGCATTCACTGCCCGATCCACTCCTCACCTGGTCCCCGACACCTTCTGCCTCCAGGCTGCCCCTTCTGCTGTGGGATGAGCTGTCTGAGAGCCTGACCTGACTGGGCCACTCCCCGCCTGCAGAACACCTGGCACTAGGTGAAGGCCCAGCCACTGGCACAGCCCCTGGGCTCCTCCCCACCTGCCTCTACTCAGCACCCCTCCAGGGCTCCTTTCTGGTCAGAGTGGGCAGCTCCTCGTTTCCAGAACACTCCAGCCCTTCCCCATGCTCTCCTTTTCCCCGGAAGGGCTGGCTGACTCCACCTGTTACCCGAGCCCCCTCGTTGGCCAGCTCCTTGAGGCCTTCCAGGGCACACAGGGGAGGCAGCTGGCCAGGCTCTCCTGTGCGGGATTCCTCTGGAGCACCAGTCCTGTTTTATTCTCAATTTGTATTCTCTTATGGTGACCGTCTGAAGGGCAGGGGCTACCTGTGGGAGGCCTGACACATCACAGCCGCTCAGCGCATGCCGTGAGAATAAACTAGTGTGATGCAGGCATCTGTGTGCACGGCTTAGCCAAGATGACCACCTCCACAAGGCTCCTGACAAGGGGCACTGCTCCCAACACCTCCACAGCCCTGGCCCCAAGAAAGGCATCTCCCTGCTGAGCGAAGCTGGGCACCAGAAGCTGCAAGGCTGGGAGCTGTCGGGGGAGCCCAGTGGTGGCATCTGGCACCAAAGTCACTGTGGTGTGCATGGCCTCATTGGTGGCAGAGTGTGTACTGGTACTCCCGGAGTGTCCTGGGACTAGATCTTGGGAAATACCACATCAAAGGCAATAACAGAATGTTAGATCAAACAGGTACATTAGCGTAGAACTTTGGTGCCTTCAATTTGCTACAGACATTGGGTGTCCAAGGGCTGGGGGGTCAGTGGTGTTTCCCAAACGTCATCTGACCACAGAGCCTCAGGGCACTGTGGACTCTACCCTAGAAAGTGCCCACATTGCTGGATTTATGCTGAGTGATGGATGAAGAGCCTGAAACACAGTATCCGCTAATGACTTATTCGTCAGGGTCACCCTAAAATATGCCGGTCACCAGGATCAAATGCTGTGTTTCTCAGAAAAGATCAGAAGAAAAAAGACATCTTTAAGGAATCAAAAACTTTTATTCAGAATAGGCATTAGCAAAATGAAGGCAGGCGCCTCATAAATGCAGGGCCATAGAGTACTCATTAGAAAATAATTACGAAAATATTTTGTCAAGTATTAACATGAAACTCTAATCACTGGTGGTAAAATACAGTCATATGTAATCACACTGAAAAGAAAAGGTGAAAATCTCCGAGTTATCTGCCCAGGTGGCAGGAAATCCACAGCCCAAGAACCCAAGTGCTACTGTGCCCCCAGGCCCAGGGCTATGATCCAAAGTGACAGGCAGACCACTGGGCTGGATCACCACACTCGGCTGCATGCAAGAGAGCCAGCTCAGAATCCCCGTGGGCTGCTCCTTGTGTCACAGTGGGCTGATTAAGAGCTTCCAATGTTCCCAAATAGGGCCTCCAATGACAGGAGTGGCAGCTGCATTACGAGAAATTCACTGGGGCTGCACCTGGCTCTTCAACTTGGCGAGTCTCATGAGGCACTCGTCCCTCCACTGCCTCCTGGCAGCTAAGTGCTCTGGGTCATCAGGGACCTTCAAGCACATTCCCTGTGAGAAGGAGAAGAAAAAAAAGAACCATAAAGAGGAAATAATTTACCGGGAGTGTGATTATTGCTCTTGTTTATGCAAATTGCATAGAAACTGCTTTCAAAGACAAAAGCAGCAAACCCTCAATGAGCAGCAGCTTTTCAAATCTTGGAAAGCCTCAGTCCCTCAGAGACAAGTCACAATGAGCTACCAGTTCACTGCTCACCCTGCCCTCAAGGTGTTCTGGTGACACAGTGGAAGCAGGAGCCAAGTCGGGAATGAGGAACCACCAAGATTGAGTGCCAAATTTCAGCTATAGGCCAGGCATGGTGGCTCAAGCCTTTAATCCCAGCACTTTGAGAGGCTGAGGCAGGTGGACCATGAGGTTAAGAGATCAAGACCATCCTGGCCAACATGGCAAAACTCTGTCTCTACTAAAAATACAAAAATTAGCCAGGCATGGTGGTGCACGCCTGTAGTCTCACCTACTTGGGAGGCTGAGGCAGGAAAATCGCTTGAATCTGGGAGATGGAGGCTGTAGTGAGCCGAGATCGTGCCACTGCACTCCATCCTGGCAACAGAGTGAGACTCCGGCTCAAAAAAAAAAAGATTCCAGCTATAGATGCAGGCTCACCAACTGCAGAGGTGAGGGCAGTAAGCGCTGCAGGGGGCTAGCATGCTTCTCCGTGGTGAGTCTACATACCTGGTTAACCTTCTCAGCCGTGGCCCTGGAAAACTCTGGAATGGGTCCAAACGTCTTTAGGACACGTTTGATGCTTTCACTGTATCTGTCACAGTAGCTTAACATACCTGGAATTGCATGAAGACAAGGATCCACAATCTCAGAAAAAAACATTCTTAATTATACTCAAACTCAGAAATGCGTTCAGAGAGTTTCACCCTGGGGTCAGATAAGCTACACTCTTCCCTCCCTGTGAAGACAAAACAGAGCTGAGGAATGTGTGTGGGCCTGCTGGCTCCTGGGTGTTCGAATGTCAAAAAGTGCCAGGTCTGGCCGGGTGGGTGTGGTGGCTCACACCTGTCATCCCAGCACTTTGGGAGTCTGAGGTGGGTAGATCACCTGAGTTTGGGAGTTCGGATCCAGCCAAGCCAACATAGTGAAACCCTGTCTCTACCAAAAATACATAAAAATCAGCCAGGTGTGTTGGCGGGCACCTGTAATTTCAGCTACTCTGGAGGTTGAGGCAGGAGAATCACTTGGACCGGGGAGGCAGAGGTCGCAGTGAGCCAAGATCTTGCCACGGCACTCCAGCCTGGGCAACAGAGTAGGACTCCATCTCAAAAAAAAAAAGTGCTGGGCCCCTCAGGCCTGACATGTCACCTCTGCGGGTGCATCTCACAGACACTCCAGCTGGCCTGCGTGGACACACTGATTTGTTGGCTATTACAGTAAGTCTTATTGTCATCAAAAGTGTCTCCTCCAACCATGGGTCTATGAGGTTACTTGTGTACAAGGCTTCAATGCATTTTCCAAGAATTAAAGATGTCGGAGTTCAAGTAAACCCCTCATTTATTTCACTGTTAGGCCACAGATCTCAGCACTGTATTAGGTATGGCCAAGGCTGCAGGTACTTGAACACCGGTGGGAGAGCTCACGCTGGCATGCGGCTTGCTGGTTGGGCTGGACGGAGCCAGGTGCTCCGCTGCGCCAGCCCCCAGGCACGCTCCCCACACTCCTGCTGCTCCCCAGCCTTGGGGAGCCATGATTTCTCAGATTCTAAGGAGAGAGCCCTGGGACTTTGGTGAAGAGACGCAGGAAGAGGCTTATCCTGGAGGGAGAGGGCGGGAGCGGCCCGGGCTAGGCTGACTGAGTGAGAATGGGGCGCGCCCAGGGGCAAGCGAGGGCCAGCCACACAGCACACCCGGCCTCAGCCTGCCCTGACCCGCAGACCCCTCCCTGCTGCTGGGAGGAGACCGGGGTGGGTGCCGGCCTGTGCTTAGCAAGTCAAGTCAGAGGCCAGGCCCGGGATCCTGGGAGAGAAGGAGGCGTTTCTAGTCCTGGGAGCTGTGGAGGACACAGGCTGGGCCACTGCTGCGCCCCGGACCCGTTTCCCACATCTTGCAAGCCCTTAAAGGCTCAGTAGCTGGTCAGTCTGCCTAAAACGTAACACCGGGACAAAGGAAGTCGCAAAAAGTGCAGACCCTGCCCCAGCTCAGCTCCCCTCTCCCCACAAAAACTGGATGATTAACTTAAAATATGAACCATCAGTGTTAGATACACTAACAAGAAAAAAAAAAAAAAAAAAAAAAAAAGCAAACTTCATCTTTGAGGTTTAGTTTTGATTGACCTATGCCGATGTGAGGGCCCAAATTCATTGGGTGGCAATTTGTTTGCTTCAAATAGTTCTCAGTGTGTTAAAATCTCCCCAAAAATGGTTTTGACGGTAAAAAGTTCAAACGTACCAACTTCTCTGACATTAGCACCTGCAATTAACTGGTGGGTACTCTCTTTATAAAAGAAGGGGTTTCGTCTCATTTAACCTAAGTGTTAATTTGGCAGTGCAGAATTCTGGAAGGCTCCTGAGCTGTCCAGCGCTGGATAGGTACTGTAGATGGCTTAGCATTTCTGGAGAATGGAAAACAACCTATACATTGATTTCATTTAGGAAATTATTTACTTCACTTTTGCTAGCTACTTGTTTATTAAAACGAAAGGAGACAAACATCTAGACAGAAATACAGTTTATTCCTTCCTTTTGGGGTGGCGGCAGAGACACAAGAATCAAGTTGGAAATATATCACATGAGAAGAAAATGGAAAGAGCTGCTGTGGCCGTGTGTCCCTCCCTTGCAGGGCAGGCAGACGCCCTCCCGAGACCCCTCAGCAGCCAGTGCCTTCTCCCTCCCCACCACGGCAGCCACAGGCCATGGGTTCCCTTCACACAGCACCTGCTCTCTGGAACACGTCACATTGTCTGAGCAAGTGTTCATCTCCTCCTGTTCTGTGAAACCATTTGAATCTCCTAGGGACTTTCCAGAATTTTCTTTTCTTTACTGTTTTTGTGGTTTGAAAGGGACATTTATTTCCTCAAAATAGAATAAAATATGCTGGAATTTATGACAGTGCAATTCATAATTTTCCCCATTTTTATTCAGGAAACCCTTTAAAATGTCAATTTTACTGATTAAAAAAACTTTTTGTAAGACGCTCGTGGGATGAAGAGCCCCACTGTCTGTGACGAAGTTCAGGTGCCTACACCACGTGCTCACCATGAGGCGGGTGGGGCCTCCAGGTGCTCCGAGGGCAGGAGTTCACGGTGACTGAGACTCACGACCTGCATCTGCCTGATTATTTACGACCATGTCCCAGTAAACTTATGACTGTGACTGTTATTTGCAACTCCTCCCCTTCCATTTTAGAGAGGTATCATTTATTTTCAACAATCATTTTGGCTTCTCTACACCATGAGAGGGGAATTGGGTGGAAATTACTCTAAAATACCAATTTCTTTGGAAATAGGAAGAACATAACACAGCCCACTTCACTTTTTATGCCCCTGGTCTGCCCTTCCACACTGATTCTATCTAATCCAGCCTCCTCTGTGGTTTTTCTTCTATGCTTCCATGCCCTCTGTCCTTTTGAGTTCTAAATCTTCCAAAAACTGTTGTAGAGTCTGGCGTTTTAGAAGATTCTGAACCTAATTTCTTAAGAGATGCTTATGCAGAAAAAGAAAACAAAGTAGAAAAAAGAATTGATTCTCATGAGATTGGTTGGAGCTTAACTTGTTGCTTTCTAACTTGGGGACCTTGGGCTGTGGGCCTCTGAGGGACAGTGGGTTTGAGTGCCCCAGGTGGGCAGGCAGTAATCCTTTCTGTTCCCATGGATGGAGCAGGCACCAGAGGAGGCCTTGACCCCAGCCCGAGGCCACAGCCACCGGGAGGGATTCCGGGCGTCAGCTCCTAGGAGAGCCCTGATTGCCACCCATACCTGAGAAGCGTGGTTTTCTTTCACACAGCTATGAGCCCACACCTATGTGAATTCACCAGCTTTTTAGAGACAGAGTTTCACAGAGCTCATTAAGGAAGATCAAAAATGCCTCAAAGCACAGCAAGACATTATCTCATTCTCCCTCTCAGGGTCAAATTCCCACCTGAGCGAGGACTTGCCCAGGGTAGGGGAGGCAGAACTGACCTGGGCCCCTCACCTCGCCTCACCAAGTCCCCGCCCATCAGCTCACCTGCCTCCACTGGCAAATAATCGCTTCCCATCAATGAACCAAACCTGCCACCCACCAGGTAGGCATCTCAATTTTTAAAAAGGCAAGTATCTACACAGGAGGGGACATCTGTGAGGCAAAATGGTAAAAAAAAATCCACTTCCCCTGGAGGCAATTTCCACCCTGCCAGATTCTGAGATATCTTCATTTCAAGTGGAACAAAACACAGGAGGAGCCCAAACAACCCCGGGGAAAGGACAAAGCGGTTCCTCTCTCTACTGACCTGCAAGTCGAAAGCTCAGCAAAGAAACACACCCAGCGGGAAACTCTAGGTAGCTGGCTCCGAGGCTTCTCCACGCCACAGAAAAGAATCCTAATCTGTATTTATTCCTCGCTCATGCACTTGTGAACCTTTTAGGAAAAATTTTTAAAACTAAAAATAAAACAAAAAAAAAAAACCTAGAAAAGTAGTAACTTAAACAAGACAAAATTCTGTTTGAATACTTTATTTATTTAGGATAAATAGTCCTTAATAAATGTCATAGTCAAACAGAATTTTGTAGCAATCCAGCCAAGAGCTTCCATCTGGTTCAATTCTCACACCACCCTGGGGAGGCAGTTACTGCTGTCCCCATTTCACAGACGGGGACACTGAGATGCACTGAACTTAAGTCACTTGCCCAGGGTTATACAGCCAGTAGAGAAAGGAGCTGGCCCGCTGGCTCCACAGGCCAGAACCACCATTCTGAGGGCACATCTGCCAGGGGTGTTGTTCGTGAAAGGAGCCAAAAGGCAATGGTGCGGTGGCCTCCTATTTCTCAGGAACTATTTCATTAGATTACAAATAAATCCTAAAATATTTGCACTAGTTCTAGATAACCGTAGCTTTTCAGGCTAATAACCACCCTTAACCTGAGATGCTGGCTTTATGAAAACAGTATCAGAAAAGAAGAAAAACACTCCCAACTCCAATCTTGATATGTTCTGGGTGACAGAGTGAAGAATGATGAACATTTCCTTGGGTTCCCAGCCAGATCTTATAACTCCCAACTCTGGTCTTTGGAATGCTCTGAAGTTGAAAACTACATCCGTCCACCATTATCATAAAAAGCCAATTAGGTTTTCTTATCATATCTGCTTTGTCTGAAAAATTGTTACGGGCCTCCTTCCTGTCTGCCACTCTGTTTGATCCTTGAGTTTCTGGTTTCATTGGCTTCTATTTGTTTGAAAGTCAAAGCTGTTCTCAGTTCTGTCCCTATCGATTTCTTATGATACCTCAATTATCTTATTTTTCTTAAGAAAAAAAGAAAAAGAAAAACACAGTGGTTATCAGGCAGTATCTAAATACATTTCAAATGCTTAAATATACTCACAAGTTTTGAGGTTCTGTTTGAAAAAACCATTTGAAATGATGTAAGACTTTATGTTAATGATACCACAAGACTCTTGTTTCATGGCATGAGGCCATCTTTCTCTATGTTGCCTTCCTCTGTTCAGTGGTTATATTTCCACAAAACTAACACGCAGGTGCTACAGGAGATTCCCCTCTTCCCTTTAGCTCCTCTCAGCTTGATTCTGATGAGGACGGAAGCAGGGAACACACGGCCCATCCACTTCAGAAATCATCTGTGCATCTGCTGTGTGCAGGAACATGTCTAGTAAAGCTGCCTTGAATTATTCATCGGACAGTATATTTCAACAACTGCTGTGAAAATTGACTGAACTATTACCAAAATGTAATACTGACATTATAGAACTGAAGTCACGCAGACTGAGAGAGGTCGGCAACTCTTGACCTCTCTCTCACAGCGGGAGTATCCTCTCAACATCTAAGCCTCCGACAGGCAGGCAACCAGGTCCCCTGCTCAGCTCACCTACTTAAAGCACGGGCCTTTCCTGGACATCAGCTCTCATTACTAGAGAGTTCTTCCTGCCATGTACTGAGCCCAAACCTGTCTGCCTGCCTGCCATTTCCAGTCTTTCACTCCACTTCCATCCCCCAAAAGATACAGACCGAGAGACATACAAGAGACTCTGGTCGCCTTTTTCTAGATAAGACCCAGCTTCTCAGTATCCTTCGTTAAATGCAGACCATGGAGATGCATACCATATTTCTTTTCTCTTTCTACAAGTTTTCCATGTTAGTAATATTATTACTATAGTAATTATAGAAATTCATAACAACACAGACAAGCAAAAAGATACTAAAAGTTACTTATAATCTCAGCACCAAGAGACAGCTGGCAATGATAGCATCTAGGTCACATCTCTCTCCAGATTTTATACATAGTTTCTAAAATTTACTTTGTTTTAATTTGCTATAGGTTTTGCTGGTTATCAAATGACATCTTCTTTTTGGATCAATTAAAATCTGGTTGACAGAGTTTCATTCTTGGAAGCTTCTCGTCCTTCTCAAGTCATCTTTCCTTTAGAGTTACCAGATCACAGATCCTGAGCTCAGACCTACTTCTGCACAAGCCTTCTGTAGGTGGCGTCTGGCCAATGTCTGGTCTGTCCTGCCCTGAAGCCCCTCCCCAGCTCCCAGCCTCTGGAATCCCTCACTGTAGGCTCCCTAGCCTTCTAGAAGAAAACCTTGCTCATATTTGGGCAGAAGATACATCCAGCAGAGTTCCCTGTGGGTTAAGTCAGCCCCCTGCATTTTCTTCTTGCCTCTGTAAATAATTTCACCACCTTCCTTAAGAAACTACCACTTTCCCTTCTGCCAGGCTGGGTGACACGCAGCGAAGTCTCCATGGCATCACCCACCTCTCTCCCTCTGAGCTCTCACCTGAGCACAATGTACCACATAGAGCCCTGAGGTGCACGGACTCTGCCTGGATTTACATCTCAGTACACAGCGCTCCGCATCCCTGCCATGTCTGTGAATCTCCAGGGCTGGCCATCATCTCCTATACATCCTACTGTCTCTACTCAGTTATAAGAAAAGGCAGCTAATGTGACTGTTTACAAAACCCATGACAACACTAAATAGAATGGAATTCCCATCCTGGCCGCAGATGCATACCTTCTGCATTGAGGTGCATGGTTTCCAGGGGTCCAATGAACGCATACCGCATGCCCAGCCCTTCTGACATGACGAGGTCCAGGTCGCTAGGAGACACGATTCCTTCCTACATGGAGAAAACAGGCGGCACATAGATGAGTTCTGTGGAAAGACAGTTTCACGACCACCACTTCCATCCTAACTTCTTTAGAGCAGAAGCCCAAACTCTCCTCCAAAGCACTATACAGGGTAAGTACCCGTTTATCTAAAATGCTTATGAACAGAAGCGTTTTGGATGGCTGATATTTTTCAGATTTGGGGATATTAGCATATGCATAATGAGATATTTTGGGGATGGGACCCGAGTCTAGACATGAAATTTATGTTTCATATACACCTAGCATGAAGGTAATTTTACACAGTATTTTCAATAATTTTGTGCATGAAACAGTTTTTGTACACAAAAACATCAGAAAAGCAAAGGTATCACTACCTAATGTCAGTATGCAAAAAGTTTTGGATTTTGGGGAATTTTGGAATTTCTGATTAGGGATGCTCAACCTATGATAGTATTTTGATTGAATTTTGCATGACAAAAATATAATGTTATTATATGTTATAAAAGGCTCAGCATGGTGACTCGTGCCTGTAATCCCAGCACTTTCAGAGGCCGATGTGGGCAGATCACCTGAGGTCAGGAGTTTTGGACCAGTCTGGCCAACATGGTGAAACCCCACTGCTATTAAAAATACAAAAAAATTAGCTGGTCATGGTGGTGTATGCCTGTAGTCCCAGCTACTCGGGAGACTGAGGCACGAGAAGTGCTTGAACCTGGGAGGTAGAGGTTGCAGTGAGCTGAGATCTCACCACCTCACTCCAGCCTGGGCATCAGAGTGAGACTGTCTCAAACTATGTATATATAAACATGTACACACATATATATATAGACACACACACGCACACACGTGTGTGTGTGTGTGTGTGTGTGTGTGTGTGTGTGTGTGTGTGTCTAAAAAGAGTTTTTTTGTGAAATGGTCAAACACCAATTCATCTTTTCCATCCCTGCAATCCGCTAGGGTTTGAAATCAATTCTTCTTGACCTCCCCTGCCTCCTCATCTCACCTCACAACCTACAGACCGCCTGCAGCTGCAGGGAGTAGGAGAGGCTGAGGGCAAGGGGAGCGTGAGGAGGGGCATGGCAAGAAAACGGCAGGAAGGATTTTCTGATTGCTGCGTAGGACCCTGGGGGAGTAAGATTAGAGCCATCAAAAGACTCGGGAAGGTGCTCTCCTGGCCTCACCTGCCTGCAAGTCAGGCCTTGTTCAGCTTTTAATGAGTTTGTAAAAAGCGATATTATTTGATGAAATGCAGCTTAGAACCATGGGTTTGTTTGCCAAGGTGGGGCCGTAGAATCTTCCGCAGTGTAAATCGCAAAGCAAGAGGCAAGTTGTTATGTGTTGAGGTTAGATGTCTGATCAGCCACCTGTGTTCCTTGGCCGCAGGTGGCTTTGGGATGGAAGTGCAGATGGCTTTTGGGATGGAAGCGCAGATAATGATCTGCAGGCGCTGGCGCTCCACTGCCGTTCCCTCTGTCGAGGATGCCTCCCCCTTGGGCATCTCCACTGTCAGGAGGGCGGAGGGAGAGAAGCCGCCACCTTTTCCCCCACGCCTTCACGGCTCCGACTGGCAGCGCTCCCACGGAATCCGCCGCCCCAGGTCTCATCTGAGTGCTGTCTTTCACCACAGCACTGTGGGACAGAGGCAGCGGTCCCTGCAGCCAGGCCGGGGCTGCGGCCTGCGAGGGCCCCTGATCTTGGGCGAGGCGGCCGCGCCCCTCCTATCGTGTCCTGGGCGACCCCACCTGCCCTCAGTTGAACCCCGTTTCCCTACCCCGGGGCACCTCCCTACGCCCGCACCCGGCCCCAGCCACGGCCCCGGGCCAGTGGTCCATCGGGCGTCTCCCTCCCCGGGGTTGCGGGCAGAGCCTGTCTGTGTCGAGAGGGCCTTCTCCGAGCTGCGGGTTTGCTTGGCCCTGAGGGCTCTGCGGGGACCCGGGCACAGCGGCCTGCGGGAAGGCGCCCTTTGCCCCGCGGAGGGCCTGGGACGCCTGGGCTTGGTCTCGAGACTCCTGGGACTCCGAGGCAGCCCTAGGGGTCCCCAAGAAGAGAGAAAAGGGGTCCACAACCCTCGCCGTGCCCCGCAACCGGCTGTGGCAGGCGACACCCAGGTGCCTCGGGTCCACGTGCCGACTTAGACACCGCCCTGCGTCTGCAGACAGAGCGCTGGCGAGGCGGGAGCAGGGGACCCGCTAGAGCCACGCCATCCGCGAGGGTGAGGGCCACTCACTGTGACCCACAGCCCCCTTTTAGAGAGCCACTTTCCATTTCCTTTTGTTTACGCACATGGGACACAAACATATTGAGACTTAACAAGCCACAACCCACGTTCCGGAAGAATTACAAAGCTAACCTCCGCCTCGCCCACCGCAGCCTCCACCCCCTTCCGGAGGCCGGCGGCCTGACTCCTGCAGTAGCGGCTTTCCTGCCTCGGAGCCTGGCCGCCCGTGTTAACATTCCTCAGCAGCAGCGTTTGCCGCCCGCGAGTTTCTAATCTTCCTGTAAATGGAATCACTGATCGCGCGTTCTTGCGCAACTTGTCTCTCACCATCCTGTTTTTCAGATTCACCTGTGTCGAGTGTCTGTCTCCTTGATGCAGAGACATGAGTTTACTCGTCCACCCTGCGGCCATGAGCCTTTGGCTAGTCCGGGGCTCCAGTGAGCAGGGCAGCCGGGGACACGCGCACAGGGCCCGGGCCAGGGCCGTGGTCCAGAGCATCCGTCTCCCCCTCGCCGCGGAGCCCGGGCCTCCAGCACTGTGTGGAAGAGGTCCCGTCGAGCCTCAGCCTCGCCACGCTTGGCGCCCTCACGCTTGCGAAGTTTCGCTAATCTGGTAGGGTCTAATGGTATCTCGCTGGGTTTCCTGCGAGTTGTAAGTCACCCTACCACGTGGTCACTGGGCCTGCTAAGGACAGCGAATCAGTCTGTGCAGGTCACTGCAATGCTGAGGAGGGTCCCCTCCATTCACTCCCAATAGCGAAGCTGGAAAGGGTCGGGCGCATCATGGGGGTGGAGGTATCTACACAAGGCCCACGGAAACACTCGGAACCCTCAAGAATCCCTGGCAGCAGGTCTAGGGGCAGGAAGGGTGGCTCCCTACGCTCTCCAGGCTGCTAGAAGGCCTGGGCTGTGGCCCCTCGCACCCCCATGGGCTCTGGAATGCTGTGAAAGGCAGCCAAGCAGCCTGCAGAGTCTCCCCTCACCCTTGGTGTCCTGGCCAACATTCCACACAGCCCCAAGTTTTCATTTTAGTATTCAAACTGGGAAGGCTGCAAATATGGAAGCCACCCTACACTTGCAGTGTTATTTGGCTTGGCTCTTTTAGAATCGTATTTAGTATTTTTAGAGCTGATTTTTTTTTTTTTTTTTTTTTTTTTTTTTTTTTTGAGACAGAGTTTCGCTCTTGTTACCCAGGCTGGAGTGCAATGGCGGGATCTCGGCTCACCGCAACCTCCGCCTCCTGGGTTCAGGCAATTCTCCTGCCCCAGCCTCCTGAGTCGCTGGGATTACAGGCACGCGCCACCATGCCCAGCTAATTTTTTGTATTTTTAATACAGACGGGGTTTCACCATGTTGACCAGGATGGTCTCGATCTCTTGACCTCGTGATCCACCCGCCTCGGCCTCCCAAAGTGCTGGGATTACAGGCTTGAGCCACCGCGCCAGGCCTAGAGCTGATTTTTAAAAAATCATTTCTTAATTTGTCTGTCAAAACAGACAAAAGGTGAGCCAGCCCAGAGTAGCTCCTTTTTCGTTTGTGTTATCTGAGCTAACAGCCCCTGACCAATGCCTGAGAGAGGTTCTCCCCATGATGTGCCCACACTCATCACCAACTCGCATGTTCTCAGCTCTGCCTGATTTCATCTAGCGGAGGGCTGTTTGCCTTCCATCAATCACTATTCACCAGTAGAACAAGTTAGAAAAGGGGGAAAAGTTTTGATACCTTCCCTTCCTCTTATTGCACCTGTGAATTTCTGAAATAGATTTCTCAAAGCTTGAGCTTTTACCAAGAAGCTAAGTCTACAGAAAGAAAATGACCACAAGGCACTTGTTGAGAAGATCAACTAGGATTGCATGTCCCCAGGGCAAACATTTGAGTTTCTCCCTGCTGCACCTGGTACTGAACTAAAGCTTTCCCATTTAGGATGTTTTGAAGCTCAGGTTCCTTGATTCTGCCACTGAGCTCAATTCTACCCAAAGCCTTGTGACATCTGTGACCTAATATTATCATAACAATGACAGTAAATAAACGCAGCAGCAGGATAGGCGGAAACAGGGCTTATGTTGAAATGGGGAACTGACAAGCAATTCCTTGGAATAGGTGTTGGGCAGCACAGCTGTGTGGAGACAGGAACCCTACCCCAGTCCAGTTTTTCCGAGGTTCCGTTTACATTGATCAGTTTCACAATCAGTACTTATTCCATTTTACGGTAAAATTCTCAAGTCACACATACAAAGAAAAGATTCTTTAAAAATCATACAAAGGAATGAACAATCAGATCACTGTTAGTTCAAAACCTGGTTTCACAGCCTGAAAATCATTGGGCAAAGAGATCCAAGGCAGTGGTAAGGAATCCCCTTTATTGAAAAACTTCTTGCTTCTGCTTCCTTAGTTAAAACCTGAGACTTTCCCCAGCCGAGGAACACATGGATAGCTGGGGCACATACTTTGCACCTGATGTGGTGGGAGAAAATGCCCAGGCTGGGAGGAGCCACGAGACTGTCATCCATGAAGTAAGGAGAAAATCCCAGACAGTAAATAGCACACCCAGCTGCTATGACACAAATGTTAAGTTGAATGAAAGGTGTAGGGATTTATCAGCCAGGGTTCTACCAGACAGAGCCAGTAAGATTCACACACATACATCAAGAGATTTATTTCTAGGAATTGGCTCATGTGACTGTGGGCCTGGCAAGTCAGAAATCCAGGGACAGGCCATCAGGAGGGCAAGCTGGCAACTCCAGGTAGGAACTACCTCACAGTCTGCAGGCAGAATTTCTCCTTCCTTGGG